ACTTTGTCCTTATCGATAGGCCAAACATAAAATTGACCTTCTTTCTCGGTCGTCTGCTTTTCCGGATGATAATCGTCGGCAACTACTTCTCCAAAACTGATTACTTTTTCATTTTCAACAATAATAGGATGAAAACAATTTTTAGCGTCCGTTCTCAAACTCTCTCCGCCTACATTACGCAGGTTCATTCAGTAAGCGTCAAGCTTTTTCTCACCAATCGTTTTTTTGCCTTCGGGAATAACAAAAATAGCGTATTCATGAGTATAAGAAAAATTTGCCCCCTGTGCTCCCCTTGGATTATGAACGATAGTTATAACATGAATTTCATAACCGCGAAATATTTCTTTCAATAAAACAGTCAATTCGGCTTGTTCGTTCTTGTCAATCGCCACAATTAGACAACCATCACTCGTCAGTAATTTTTTGGCTACTTCCAACCGATTTTTCATAAAAGTTAATCAAGTAGATTCGTTGAAACCATTGTTATAAACAAAAGTATTTGATTTACTATCCGGATTATAAGGCGGGTCAATATAAATTAATTTGATTTTGCCCTGATACTTTCCTTTTAATGAATAAAGAGAAAGAAGATTATTGCCTTTAATAATTAAATTGTCGTTTGGCAAAATATCGTTAGTTGGCACTTCTTTTCCTGCTTCGTATTTTTGAAAATTAGTTAATACTTTGGGCGTTAGTAAGCGGTCAATTTCGTCCGGTGCCAGGGTTTCATTTCAAAATATTTCATGCCTTTTGGCGTCCTCCTTGGTTTGCCCTCCTTCCAAAATACAATCTTTATAAGGTCATGCCAAAACTACTTCTTTGCTGTCAGCAAGATAATTGCCGTTAGCAGTTAATCCGATTTTGTTTTTGTATTTAGTAAAACTATCAGGGAGAAATTGTTTATTAGAAACGAAACTTTGAAATTTTATTTTGTCAAAAACGAGGATATTATCTACTTCTTGGAAAAATATTTTTTTAATTTCTGGGGAAGAGAGAAGAAGTTTTAAAAGTTCTTTGTCGAATTTCAGGGCTAATTCAATAATTTTATTTTTGGCAAGATTGCCATCTATTATTAGTCTTGGGTCTTTTTTTAGGAGTTGGGTTAGGATAACTTCTATTAACATGTCAAGTTCTAATTTATTTTCAGTGCTAATTCACGCAACCTAGCGTTTTTTTCCTCGTCTAGATTATCTATAGCAAATTCAAGGTTACTTATTATGTTTAATTCTTTACTAACTATATATGTGGATCTTTTTCATCTATATTCAAAAAAACTTCAAGGTTGTGGGGAAACCAACTTATGTCTGATTCCTCATCATGAATGATATTTACCTCTCTTAATCCTGTTCTTAAGTTTATATTAGGAGAATGTCTAATTCAAAAACGCTTATGTAATTTTTCTCGAGTGCACTTGGTAGCATGTCGGCAATTTTGAAATGGTTTTTCTTTTTTTAAGTTTCTTTCTTTGTCCTTTTTTTCTTCTTTTTCTCTTTGGCTTAACAACCTTGAAAATATTAACATCGGCCCTGCTCTTTTTACTAAATTTTCGTCTTCATCTAACAAAAATCTGTACTTTAGTCCCATTCTCTTAACTAACTCGCTAAAAAAAACATAATTAAACTTACTAAAGATTGGTATAACTTCAATACCGTCAAACTCTGGAATTTTACTTCTTAAAGAAGTGCTATTAAAAAAAATGTACTCAGTGATTCCTTCCACAAAAAGTATCTTCTTACTAAAGAAAATTTTTAAAGTTACTTCGTTTAAAAGACTTTTTCATTTATTTTCATAGAAATTTTCTTTTTCTGATATCTCCGTCTTGAAGCACGGGCAGTATCTTCCTCACGCTTCTACAATAATTCTTTTTGCATTTTCTATTATTTCTGAAAAATACAACAGTTTACTTAAACCTCCCCCTTCTCCCTTGGCTATAGCTAAATTTACTCCCTTTTCATGAATAAATTGAGAAAGAAAAAAGGGAGAATGAGTTGTCATAATTAAAGTGACACCTTTTTTTTCTAATTCCTTAATAGAATTTGCTATGTCACCGATTAAGGATGGATGCAAAAAAAGTTCTGGCTCATCAATTAGTGCTAAACGCTCAACAGGTTTTTTTTCATTTAAGCTCAGAATTTTTGCCAAACTCTTTAGTTTTTTGTGCCTTAAGTAACCGGAACCAACATTTTCTATTGGATGATGCCTTCCTTTATATTCATTATAGCCGTCATACTTTATTACCTCTTTTTCTTTATTTCTGGTAAATTTTGCGTCGGAGCCGTAGTCGACTTCTCAAAATTCCTCGTCAGTATTTCTCAATTTTGATGTTTCGCTGACTATTAAAGTATTTGATTTTTCTTTTTCAGTATCATCCTCCTCGTCTTCTTCCTTTTTGAAGAGGTAAAAATTAAAATTCCGGCTTCGTACCTTTGGCACAATAATTTCTTCCATTTCTTTGTTAAGAAATTCTACGCTTGTTTTTAAGTCAAAGTAGTATATTTTATATGAATACTCTACCAACTTTTCTCCTTTTTCTTCCCTTTTGAGTGAAGATTGGTGTTCATTGCAGAGTACGCGGAAATTACTTGAAAAAAGAAGAGGCATTTTATAACATGATTTTGTTTTTTTAAATTCCCCTACATGTTCTTTAATCCCGTCTCATTCTTCATTATTATAATAAATATAGTCTAGAATGTTTGACTTACCAACGTCATTTTCTCCGATAATTATCGTTATTCCCTTTCTGATAAACTTAAACTTTAGGTTCTCTAGATTACGATCGTTTATTATTATAGAAGTTTCCTCTTGCTCTTTTTTTATTTTCATATTACTACTATTTTAGCAAATATTTTCCTCTTTCGAGGAGGAAATAGTTTTCTGTTTAAGCATTTTACCTGTCTCAAAAGCGGAATTAATTATTAAAAAAGTTGTATAATAACCATTTTAAAATGTTAAGTAAAGTCAGTAACCAGTAGTGATCCAGAAAGCAAAGGCATAATTACTTGGATTTTTTTTTGGATACTACTGTGCAAAAGTTGTAAAAAAATGTGTCTCATTCTATCCTCGGTCTAAAAAAGTAAAATTTAAACATATATAAAGACTACTTTTATGGCTAAATACAACCACCCCTCCAAAGAAGAATTATTAAAAATTATTGAAAAGCAAGAAAGAGAATTAGATCTCAAAAAATATGGACTTGTTGAGATAGAGAAAGAGAGCCAGAACAAGTAGTTTTAGATTGTGAAAATAATTTACCGATACTCAAAAGAGTTAAAGAAAAGCAAACTAAAACTAATGACGGCAATGACAATATTCTAATTGAAGGAGATAATTATCACTCTCTTACTTGTCTAAATTACACCCACAAAGATAAAATTGACTTGATATACATTGACCCTCCTTACAATACTGGAAAAGAAGATGAATGAAAATATAACGATAAATTTGTTGATAAAAACGACCAATACAAACACGCCAAATGATTGAATATGATGGAAAAAAGGTTGGAACTTGCCAAAAATCTTTTAAAAGAGGATGGGGTAATGCCCTTCAGATTCTCAACAATCAATAAACTCCCATAAAACCTTGTTTTATTTACTTTTTTATTTATCACAATTTATTATTTTAGCCTGCTTTTCTGCTCCTAGCAAATTAACTTTTTAGGCGAGATTTGGTTTTGGTAGGCTCTGGACGATGATGTAATCTTTGCGTAAATCTTTTTTCCCGCACCACTTGAATAACTACTTCACCAGGAATGACAATCTCCTTTTTGATTTTTTCTCTAATTTTACGGGACAATTCTCAAGTCTTATGGTCGTTTAATTTTTCAGCATCTACAAAAACTCACACCTCTCTTCCGGCTTGAAAAGCATAACTTTTTTTGATGCCTGGAAATTCGTTAGCAATATTTTCCAAACTATTCATTCGTTCTATGTAAGCCTCGGATTGATATCCCCGAGCACCTGGACGAGCAGCGGACAATCTATCCGCTGCTAGAACAATTAAAGAGTAAAGATTAGTAGGAGCAAAATCCCGGTGATGAGAAGCAATGGCATTAATAACTACCTCTGGCTCCTGACATTTTTTT